AGAGAAGAGTATAAGCCAGGTACTCAAGGGCCCTGGATAGGCGCTACGTCTGATCTCAAAAAGCAGATGAGAGAACAGAAGGTGCACTGCATGTCACGCATGTGGAGTTTTGAGTTACATACGAATGTTTATCATTGAAAAAAGGCTTCTGTGGTAATCAGCAGGTACTTCATCATGGCAGACCTATCAAAAGCTTTACATTCTGGATCTATGATTTCTTACGGTGAAAAAAATGTTACATTGTCATTAATTCATCATCATATCATAAAAATAAGCTCACTGTATTTGTGAATGTGTAAGACTGTAATATCCATCATCAGAAAACTGACTTACACGGACAGATTTTGTATGCTTATGCCTGTCTATCTTTTACAACCTGGAATACTTAATTAAATATCATAAAGTCAACAAGAATTAAAGTGGAAGCTGTATAACTTCAAAACTTAGTCTTGTCAGCCTCCCTAAAAAAAGTTCAGAGCACTATATTAGAATCGTGGAGTTTCTGTCATTTCAGTGTGTTGTACCTGTTTTAGGAGTGTTTCCAAAATGTGTGCAAAACTGCAGTATTATCTGCAGGATGTCCTATTTGAGCAAATTCAGACTGGCAAATATTTAAATGAAGTTTAGAATTCAAAAGGGGTTTTTTTATATATTGTGATTATTTAATGGTAGAAAGTAGTAAGGTTTAATTGATTATACTTTTAATTTTAAAGAAGATGTCAGAGTACAAGTTAAATTTGGAAGCATTTATGTTCTGAGTGGTACTTCCTAAAGCAGAATTGATAATGGAGCCGTATCAACCCTGAAGTAAATTTTAACAATAGTATTGAATACTGTGCTGCCAACACCTGTATTAAAGTAGTGGGGCAGTTTTTCCTCTTGTAGCTCATTAGGCTACTCTGTGCACTGAAAGCAGCTCCTTAGTCTGTACCTGTCCTTAGTACAATTGTGAGATCAGGAAGCGTAATGCAAAAGTTGTGTTCTGTATGAACTCTTTCATACGATGCCAAAAATATGCGATCTAAGAGCGGTGGCGTTTTTCTTTAATATGCTTTGTCTTAAGACATCCATTTAGTTGTTGAATATTTTACTACAACAGCATATTGTCCGTGGAAGTGCACAATAGGCAAACGTGTTCTTCAAAAAGAATACTAAAAGGTGAAAGCAGTGAGATTCTGTATTGCACATTAATGTTGTGATGCAATGTTAAAAAAGTCTACTATGCATGAAATGGAATTGCTTTGGCTCCAAATCATTTCAGAGGAAGTCAGGAAAAAAGGTACTAGGGAATCTGCCACTCCTAGACAGAAGGTTGAATGTTGCTGTAGCCTTTTTAATGTCAGTTCACAGAGAAGTGCAAGTAGGCATTGGGTGATACTTTTAACATCCCATACACAAACTCTACTTACAGTAGTCAAATCCAGATATCCTCAGATGCGATGGCCCATTTATTTCTTCGCCAAATGATTGCAAAGCCAAATAGAGATTGTGCTGGTTAGACTTGATAACTGGTGAAGATCAAGAAGGACAAGTGACAGAAACGTTATTGGGTCATGTTTGTGGAAGCCGATTCAGGATAACCAAGGACAGTCTTGCAGTTTTGAAAAGATAAACTTCGAGAAATAAAAGGGACTGGTTAGTGACAGTGAAGAAATCAGGTACTCACCTACGGAGGATGTCTGAAATGTCTTTAACTTGAAAGCACCAAAACCAAGCAACAAACAACAAAACCTTGAACTTTTCATGCTGCCTAGGAGGGAAACACGAGACCCTCAGGAGCATCCCACAGAGTCCCACCAGTCACCCATCTCACCTGGTATTCTCCCAACAAGCAGCAGTAGAAGATGCTGTTTGGGAAGAGCACACATGGGCATAGCCACTTTTTGCCACCCATCCGTCTCATATGCCCCAGTGTGTGCATTGCTGTATTAGGGATGTTGGAGGGGGGGTACTTTCCTGCCTGGTCCTTTTAGCATCCTTTATGGACCTAAATTTGTGTTTATTATCATCATTTTGAAGCTGCTAATGTTGTCTACCTCCACGACCTCCAGTAGCAACAAGTACCAAAAGCTCACAACTTCCTGAAGAAACACTTTGTTTGTTTTAAACTGACCTCTGAGTCATTTCCTTGAATGCTCCACCATTCTTACAGAGTTATTGGAAGAGTCCCCATTGCATCATTAGTGAAGGCAGTTGTGGCTTGGAGGTTAGAAGGTGTTAATTTAAAGCGAGCACAATCAAAAGTTCAGCTGAGTAAGAACATGTGAAGGAATTAAAAGCAAATGGTTAAACGTCCTTGATCCTTTACAGTTTTGAAACAAGAACATCCCTTTTAAAGGGTCCAGTATCCAGTGAGGCTGAGAGAGAGAGTAAGAATAATGTATGACCACTAACTGAGTGAATGCCTTGCTTTTATTTTCCATAATGATGAGATCTTGTAGAGGAACAGAGGTAGAAGGAATAATACAACAAAACAAAAAATGACTTATGAGGTGGAAAAAAAACCCAAAGGTCTTCAAATTTACACTACAAAAAGCAGATAACTTCCCATTCCTCATAGTGGAAAAGCAGGAAGAGCAGGCATATGACGTTGAGCTCGAGTAATAAAATCTTTGTTGAACCTATCAAAAGAGAAATTCTGCCTTGTAAATATAAACCACAATTTATGGCAAAAAAAAAATTATATCTGTATCAACAGAGAGGCTGCTTGGCCTCAGCTACATCAAGGCTTTGAAACAAAATTTGTTGGGGGATTATGTTTAAAGGCGTGGATTTAATTGAAAATTGGAGAAAATCCAATACAGATTTAGGAAAGACAACTATTTGCAAATTAACCTTATATTTTTGTTTTCAACAAGAGAATTATGATAAAATTAATGTATCCATCAGTCATCTTCAGAAAAGCATTTGATGCCGCACCAGAGGGGAAATTATTACTTAAATCCTAGAACGCAGGAATTAATGCAGCGTTTGTAAGGATGAATAAGAACTTCCAAACCTACCTGCCTTTGTCTCTGCTGACAAATCAATTAGTGGGATGGTAGGAAGTCAGTCAGTCCTAGGTCTTGGGACTTGCCATATTTGGTATTAAATTTAGCTTTAATTGTAAAAAGCTGGAATGTGGGATGAGGAGGCATTGTCAGTGGGGAGAAGGGGACAGGTAGGGTCTCAGAAAGGAAATTGGGGGCTTAGAGTGACAGTGATGGGACAATATTTAACAGTATAGGGAGGAAGAGAGGATCAGGTCACTTTGATAGCTGGTGAGATCAAACATGAGATACTCTGAACGTTTCTGAGAGTCTGTGTTCACGAAAGGGTGTAAACTGGTTTTGACTAAACTTCATTTAGGAATTGAAAGGAGGTTTATAAAGTGAGTTTCTACAACAACCTCTCATTAAGGAGGACACAAAACCTTATCTCTAGATGAGGTATGTTTACAGAAGACATTTGGCATATTTTCAGTGAGAACCACAGGAGTTTGGTCTCAGTGACCCTTGTGTTCCTCAGTTTCCAATCCAAACATCAAATATTCTGCATACTGAATCTAAAAATAATGTGCAAATATAATTGCTGGCAACGTTTTTAGAAGAATCAGCAGCAGACAAGCTCTATTTTGGCTCAGATACTGTAATTATGAGATGCTGCAGGAAATTTATTCCGCTAAGTGAGAAAAGAAGTAGTTAGGCAATAATATCTGGAAGGATGATACCCAGAATATACAAAACAAGAAATATTTGGGAAACTGATTCTTATTTTTCTTCATTACCATTAAAATATGCATAGTGATTTACTGTGATTATTTGAAATAAAACCTTAGAAATATGGAAATTGTAGCTAGCAATTAAGTATTTTGTAGAAAATACAGAGAGATTAGCAAGCAGTGAATTGCTTCTGCCTCATTTTCCGATGTGAATTCCTTATGTGAATTCAGTTCCTTTTTTTAAAAAAAAAACATTACTGAAGATAAAAATCATATCCAACTGAGAATTTTCTGTGGCTCTTTCGGAGTCGAACACCAAGCAGTGAGCACTCTGGTTTATTTCCCATTAGGAATTCAGCTTGCCGTCCCGCATCTTTGTTAAGGGGAGGGGTGGGGAAGTCAAGAAAAAAATGACAACACGTTTTTCTGTAGCCGTGCGAGAAGAGCAGAAGCAGCCCGTCTGAATGCCTTGTTTCCAGTGCTCTGGCGGCGCTTCTCTTGTGCAACTGGGTTGAGGGAGAGCCTTTTTTTTTTTTTTTTTTTTCCTTTTTCCCCTCCCAACGTCACTGGAATCAGCTATACGGGTGCAGCTCCGCTTTACCGCAGCGTGATGCAGTTGTGTACAGTTCAGCGTGCTCTTCTTGGAAGGAGGCAGAAGGAGAGCAGCTGACCAGAGCATGCAGAGGATACTCATTAGAGGGCGGGATTTTTTCCCTAAAGCTGGACGGTACGTGTGAAATTCCTTCAGCTGCACAAGAGGCGGTTTCAGTGGGGCTTCAAGTGGATACTGGGTTCACAAGAGGAGGTGCGTACGCTCCGGCTGTCAGCTTCTGCTGGGAAAAAAAAGCTTCAGACAGGCAGACTGCACGTTATTAAAAGCACAGCTCAGCCACCCTTCGGGGAGATACTCCAACTGCCGATGGAACAAGTGCTGTGGTACTGCATATGCCTTAACCGGCCGGAAGAAATTTGCCCAGTTGTGGAATGGAATAAATGAAAATACATACTGAGGGGGTGAGGGGATAAAATACTCCGGAGACAGAATTAAATACGAGCCCCGGAAGAAGAGCAAAGGACAAAAATCTCATGGTGTGTTTTCGTTGTTGTTGTTGAGCGCCTTTTTTTTTTTTTTTTTAAATGAGCTTACCTACCATGAACGGAAGAAGTGGATCTGCGGAGACTTCATTTCCTCCTCTGACCCCTCGTTTACATCACTAACTGGTGACAGTCACATCTACATACATAGTACCTGCCACTTCAGCTGCTCAGAATTATAGAAGCCTCTTTGTATGCAGCAGACATGGCTAGCCAGCAGGATTCAGGCTTCTTTGAAATCAGTATCAAATATTTACTGAAATCCTGGAGCAATAGTGAGTAGCAGAAGAGTAATCTTTTCATATTACGCATTGCTTGGTAAATAGCTAGGGTAACCTAAAGGATAAAATCTTCTGTTTCTGTGTGTTTGTGTTATATAAACCAAATAATTTTTGCTTTGTCAGCTCTAAAAATCAGAATGTCAGAGATTTAAATAGGTTTCATTAACTGCAAAGGCTGTAATGAGATTATACTAGGTTTTGCTTGATTGAATTCTGAAGTTAGACTGCTTTCTGGCTCTCTGTAATAGTACATTGCAGGGAGTGCATTCCAAACAGCATTTCCTGCCTACATGTTTATTTGATTTGTTCAGGCTTTATCAAAATATTTTTTAAAATGCTGTTTAATCACAAGGGTGTGGCATTGCTCAGGAGTTGGTTTTTATTAATTGTGCACTGAGGATAAAAATACGATGATTATACTTAAGGTCTGAAAGTCTTTATTTTAATGTGATGAAAAGCAAAACATCAGTTGCTTATAGCTGCACCTCCCACCCTCTATGCTTAATTTCAGAATCTTATGCAATATTTCTATCTAGAAAGAATCCATCTGTTTATCTAATCCAGGCTGGGTTTTGCAGAATGTAAACAAATGGCATTTTAGTCTTCCTTGGTCTTTTCAGTATTGCTGTTTCTGATTTCTGTTGCTGTTTAAATCAGTCACTCTTTGGATTTTTAGCAATATTATGTAATAAAGATTTCTGAATCAAATGTAGTGCTTGCAAATATATTCAAATTAGGTAAGGCCATGGGATAACTCCAGCAGAAATTTGCTTGTTGATTTAAAATGCATAAATGAACAGTATATTCTTTCTCTATAGAAGCTTGTATTAACAGTACTAGATCTCTATAATTAACTGTTTTCAGAAGATAGAACACTGTCTTTGGAAAAATCCAACTTGACTGCATATGCAGTAAGGTTCTGATCATCTCACTATCTATAAATTAATAACACTAATAACTTCTACATAAAATACTAGTATTTTTAAATTAAATGTTATAAAAAAATGCAAAATCTGCTTAATAGAAGGCGTGTATCTGAATACCTGCAAAGAAATAAAAATAACACTATATTAGATGTATGACATGCAAGGCTTGTCTTCATTAAATGATATCCATAGAAACTGTATTTTTCCAGGTCATTTGTAACCTCAGTAACACTGTGGTGCTTGTTTGAATCTGTTTTTCTACCAGAAGTGTGAAGTCACCAGGGAATAATACTATTACCTAAAAAGCATCGCTTATCTGCCCTCCTAAAATACTTAGTGCAGATTCATTCAAATCACTGATCCCACAAGGACTGGAAGAGAATTTTGTAGTTTAGTTACCTTTTTTGGACTAATGTTAATCAAATATTGAGAACATAAGTGGATATTGTGACAACACATATTTCATAACAAGCTAGTCACAGTTTGTGACGGAAGAAAAACAAGTCACTTTATGGTGCAGAAATCAAATAAATTCTGGCATTTTTGTAATAGACTACTGTAACTAAGCAAAACAAGCACTTAAGAATATAAAAATAACTATATTAGGGAATTAAATGTAACATATTAGTCTTTTTTTTTCTTTTTCCTCTACACCAAAGTATACTAAAAGTATTTCAAAACAGCAAAGATGTTTCTAGTCTGAAATTAGAAGTTCTTAAATGAGATTATGTTTTAGAGAAATGGAAATAGTATATGAATAATTGGTATTTCTGACTTTTAGCTGATAAACACACTTTCTACTGTATTTGAATAAACAGTAAGAGGAAATACAATAAATTAATCCAGGTTGACTTAAACTTGTTTCAAAATTTTTTTTTTTTCTTTTCAGTCTGGAAGGCTGTGTTCATAAACCTGTACATATATATCGTTTCTAGCTGAAAAAACAAACAATTTGATAAGGAGACAGTAGGGAGTTCAAAAGAGCTAGGGCTTTCTTCAGCTCTGCTATGTGATGGGTGGAGCAGAGGAAAACACTTCCCTTGCTTGAGAAACTGCTGGGAAGCCTGCACATGCATGCACAGGAACGTGTTTTTTCGGAGAATAGGTGCTGTGTCTGCATACCCAAGAGCAGAAGTAAGCTGTAAATTATGCTGGGACAGTTACCTAGTAGAAAGAGGTCTAACATACTGTTTTAAAAGAAAAGTAAGTTTGAGTCCTACAGTATATATTTTGTTCAAATGGTAATAGTGTAGAGGTGCTGTCCATGGGTGTTTCTGTAAACTGGCACTTAAAAACCGTAGCTGTAAGTAGCATTAATCCTTCCCAGGCTTTATAGTCCCACCCAAACCAGTCTTTTCTATTGATTTGTGTTTTGGCTTACACAGAGCATTAACATTTTCTGATAGATTGCCAACTGCACACATTTCCCGTACCATACCATGAAATCTACGCAGTTATTCTACCTGGGATGACACTTTTCTCTGATTTTGCTATCTAAGGTCTTAAACAAACTAGCACTCTTGACATGCCAGACAGGATTTCAGTTCAGTGTCACACCACACTTGCGGAGGTGTTCACCTAGCATTCTGCTTGGATTTTCATGTTCATCAGCGAGCTAAGGAGGCAGGTGATTTATGTGCACTGGAGCCGGTTCATTTTAGGTACCTGTTAACTATTGTGATCAGGATGGTACAGTCAGTGGTGTGTTCTCAGCGAGCTGCACTCTTGTTCCTAAGGGACAAAAAAGCCAAGTCGCAGTCTGGCCTTTGAATCATCCTGCTAAATTGAGAGACCTCAAAATACTCCTTTGTGCAGCTCTCAAAACGGACTTTACCTCTGCATATGCCAATAAGATACCGTGAACATCATGCAATTTTGGAAGATATTCCTGTAATGTGTTGGAGATGGGATCAGAATTGGGATTCTCTGATTGGAAATAAGAATTTTTTTTTTCTTTAGCTGATCTCATTTGTGTTCTGATGTTGTCTTAAATATTCAAGTGTTTTTGATCAATCATAAAATGGTTTGTGTTGGAAGGGACCTTAAAGATCATCTAGTTCCACCCCCACTGCCATGGACAGGGACACCTTCACGTGTTTGAGGTTGGTCAAAGCCTCATGCAACCTGGCCTTGAACACTCCAGGGATGAGGCATCCATAGCTTCTCAGGGCAACCTGTTCCAGTGTTGCATTAGTCAACAACTGCATTAATAATTTGAATTACTTCTTCTGAAATTACTGCTAAAATGGCCGTGCTTACTCAAGGTGAGTAGTGGTCCCTTGGCCCACTGAGGTCAATAGACAATAGAATAAAATAAGGCTCACCAGAAGTAGGATGATTAAGAGTCTTCTCAGATTTGTTATGGAAATATTGAAAAATACTTTTTGTAAATAAATATTTGTAATTTATTCAAAGAACAACATATGAATCCAAATGTTAAGAATTTAAATCTACTCTTTTCTTAGACTGTTTTTACTTTTTGAATGAATCAGATGATAGTTAGATTTATTCTGAATTTAATTTCCAAATGCATTTTTTCAAATTCATAGTTTAAACCAAATCTGAATAGAAGTTGAAAAATCAAGCTACAAGAAGCTGAAGTACCATCAGTATAAACTACAGGAAATTCTATAATAAATTCCGTTTTTTGCAGTTTCTAGATCAGATCAGCAGTTAAGTTTATTGGAGGAAAGGATTCTGTGAAGGAATCCGTACGGCACAGGTAGATGGCTCACTTGTGCTCTCACAAGTCAGCTCTTATGTGGCCTAGTAGAAATTGCATTTCACTGACTCCCAGTTACTGGAGACATATTTTAAGGCTGTATTTTTGGGTAATGAAATGGGAGGGTGCATTTTGCGTCCTGAACATTTTAATTTTATTTGCCACTTCTCATAGAATGGCGTTATCTTCAGGGCCTTATTTTAAGGATTACAATACTTGTTTATCTTCCTTTGAATGGCAATATTATTTTTTTCTGTGGACTTGTGTTTAATTCAGATTCAGAATAAAGCCTTTTTCAGTGTTAGGATTTCAGGTCTCTTTCCCATGGGCCACGCTTCCCTGTCAGCCACCATCCACGTCAACATCCTCATGTCATCATCCTCTTCACCTTTGTGCTGTACAAAGCCCATGGCTCAATCCTCCTACTACACACCCTGTGCTCCTGCGTGCCCAGTCCCTGTAGCAGTGGCTGGCAAAACTACTCGCTGTTTACTAGTGGTGGTAACACTGGAGACGGCTAATCTTGGGGGCACACAGACACCCGTATCAGCTTTTGCTGGCATGGCTCAAACACAGCAGCATCCCCAAACAGTCCCAGGAGGACGTCTGGCTGCTCAGCAGCTTGCTGAGCGCAGTGCTGGCATCCAGACAAGTCATGGTGTCAGAAGAGCATCAGGCATACCAGAAACTTCTCGATGGCCAGTGTGAAACCTGGGGGGTTGTTGGCTGCCCTGTAGTCCTTCATTAGATGAATGTAATACATTTAGCAATAATGTTCAGCCTTTTTACAGAGAATATTCATGAAGTCCTGTGTCCCTGAGCAAGAGAAAGGGAAGGCTGTGGGCAGTTTCTTAGGTAAAAGTCTGCATTACGTGTAAGTTCTGCGATGCACTGTTTTGATATTCTAGTAAGATTTATTGTGCAGGAAGATGATGGCAGCCATTTTGCAGGGGGTCGCTTATCTGCAGGCAAACATAGACCTTTTTAGAGCTGAATACGCTAAGCACCCTGTGCTATCAGACTTGGTGATTGTAGCAAGATAACCAGTGAAGGAAAGAGGCTCCTTTGTGTTTCTCAGGGCCCACTTAAGCAAACGTATTCACTGAACAAGAAGAACCTATCCTTCCCTGCCATCTCTCCTGCTCTGGCATTCCTACTCTTGCAGACCCAAAGTGAGCTGATTCAAGAAGCTGATGTGCTGCTAACTCACCCTGCAAGGAAAGGATCGGTTCTTGCCTGGAGTGGTGGCTGCAGCTGGGGAAGGGGCAGGGATGTGTGGCTGTGGTAAGCGGGAGAGCAGCCTGACTGGTGGAGAAACGGAACTCTGGGCTGGGGCCATGCTTGGA